CATCAATATATCAACTACCGATATATTTAATACCATGAAAAATCGGTGTTAAGATCGAACTTTTGTACTTTCTAATATGTAGATTCTTTAAATCGGCCGGGACATTTATATGGGGACTATGTTACACAGTACGTGTAGTAGATTGGAAAACGGGGGGTAAGAACTTCAACATACTGAAAATTAAACGAGAAATATGTATGGCGCCTTTTTATTACATTAAGCCAAATCCATGATCCATCCATTCCGTCAAATTCTTTACAAAACCGAAATTGGCGCGGGACCCGTATGTAGGAGCTATACAAAATTTGGTCCTGAATAGAAATGTTTCCGCAAATGTGTTTTACCCTTTCAATATCACGGAATGATATATGATATGAATGACATACGATACTACAATGGGTATGGATATATACTAATACCACATGAGAAAATACCGAACAATAAGAGTATATCATTATATGTATATCAATATATGGGGCTACCCGGACCAATTTGCACCAATGTTGATAATTTTTTGTAAACAGGTTTTCTTCATCCAAAATAAAACATTACAGCACTTCGGCTGAAACACTCCCTAAATGGGGATATCCCGCCGTTAAATGGGGATATCCGAATACTTGAGTCAATATGGAAAATTCTAATTAGGGAGAATTTCTGCCCAATAAGTATCCCTAATATTAGGTTTGGGAAAAAGAAATCCATTAGACCGGTGGAACGATCGAATTTTACAGGTATGTCGTAACATTGTCCAGGAGCTAAAAATTAAACCATTCACACAAAGCTGGATTCAAAAAGAAGCTCAATGTTTGGGTGCCTCACCAATTAACAGAAAAAATGGAATGGATCGAATTTCCATCTGGGAAGCCTCGACCAAACGGAATGAGATACTCTAATTTTTATAAACGGATGGTGACTGGAAATGAGAAATGGATCACGTACGATAACCCTATGCAAAAACGATTGTGGTCAAAGAACGGTGAAGCACCTCAAACGGTGAACAAACCAGGACTAACGACCAGGAAGGTTCGGCTATGCATTTGGTGGGACTGAAAGGGGATTGTTTATTATGAGTTGCTTTCATATGGCCAAACGCTAAATTCTGATCTCTACTGCCAACAACTGTACCGTTTGAAGATAGCAATTGACCAGAATTGGCCAACAGGGGAGGTGTCGTGTTTCACCAGGACAACGCTAAGCCATCTTATGAGTAATACAAATGTATGTGCAAATATAAAATTTATATTTTAAATCGTGGAGGGAGCAACAAAACTCACTCATAAACATCAAATTCGGTTTTGTAATGTTACCCTATGTGTGCTCTGATAAATACCACGATGTTACAAAAATATATACAAATCACCTTATGATGGAGGGTATAAAAACAGCCTAAAATGCCGAAAATTATACATCAACAATATTGTTAGGCAAGACAACGTTTGCCGGGCCCGCTAGTTTTAGATAAATGATTGAAAGACGGTATGCCACGAACACATTTTTGAGACTATATCCTTCTCATAACCAATTCACAAAATATATATCCTATGATCTCAATAGTCTTGTGAGTTCTATCTTTGAGGCTCTGAATCGTCTGTGGACAGCATATTAGAGGTCCATGTCAATTTTAAAACAATAAGACTATTTATGTCCGAAGGACAAAATAAGATCATAAAATTATCAAAGATTTTTTTTCGGTACGACCAGCTTGATATTTTGAAATATTTTATTCAAGGACCGCCAGGCAATAAAAGCAGATTGTTTATGAATATTTTTTCAGGGTCCACAAATGCATAATCTTGGGTTTTGAACGTATATAAACGTAAATTTGTTAATGAATATTTTTTCAATGACTATAAGCGTGGATTTTTTAGAATATTTTATAAGGAGTGAAATATTTAAAGAATATTGTTAAGGACTATAAGGACTATAGATATAAGCATGGATTATTTCAAGAATATAATTTTCAGGGAGCACAATGACTGGAAGTGTGATGTTTTTAAGAATAATTTATGTTTATATCCATTGACTATGATGGATATAAACGTGGCCAACCATTACGAGGATTTTTAAAGAAGCGTGGATTTTTTAAACGTTTTTGTTTCAAGAACTACCAAGGCATTAAGAAGGGATTTTTTAAATAGTTTTTTAAGGGCCACCAACGCTTTAAGCGTCGATTATGTAAATGATATTTTTCTAAGGATCACCAAGGATTTAAGTGTGGATGTTTTAAATAATAGTTTAATAGTTTTTCCAAGGCCACCAAGGTGGATTTTTTAAAGGTTATTTTTCCAATGACCACCAAGGGTATACGCGTGGATTTTTTAAATAATAGTTTTTCGAGGGCCATCAAGACGATACGATTTTTATACCCTTCACCACACTGTGGTACATGGTATTATGTCTTTGTGCATATGTTTGTAACAGGCAAAAGGAATCGAGATAGACCCATGGTTCCTTTTACGAATATGCATAGAATCACTTTCTGGGTCCATTTACTGTCTGTAAATGTCCGTCCATGTATTTTTGTGAACAAAGTACAGGTCACATTAATGGTCCGATTTGGATAAAATTTGGCTAAGTTCACTTATTTGGCTAAGTTCACTTAGAGTGCTGAATCAGAAATTTTGTTGGAATCGGTTCAAATTTAGATATAGCTCCCATATATAGTTTTGTCTGATTTTTTGTGAATGATACACCAAAATCCTAATATTTGTCCGATTGGAACAAAATTTTGCACAGAGTACTAAATTAGGTCCAGATTGATGTCTGCGAAGTTTTGTTAAAATCGGTTCGGATTTAGCTATTGCTCACATAAATAGTTTTGCCCGATTTTTTTGTGAATGATACACCAACTTCCCAATAATTGTCCGATTGAGCAAAATTTTGCATAGCGAATGCAATTAAGGAAAAAAGAATGTGTGATATTGTTTGTTAAAATCGGTTCAGATTTTCATATAGGTCATATAAATATTTTTGTTCGATTTTATGTAAATTGTGCCTAGTTTGTTCGATTTACACAAAATTTGGCAGAGGGTATTAATTGAATATAGAGTGATAACAAAAACAAATAGTGTATGCAACGGTTAATCAATCAGATCCATGTGTTTATATATAGCTCCCATACATAATTTTACTCGATTTCATACAAATGGTACACTAAATATCCATATATGAGTATGGGGTTTTTTCAATTGATTCAAGTATCAATCATGAAAGCACATTTAATTTCGCTCGATTCCATCTCAATGGTAGTCCAAAGATCCTATGCCTGTACTATCTACAGGATATTGGAGATATTGACATCTCCTATATATGTACCTAAAGTGGTGAAGGGTATCATATATTCAGCCCCGTCCGACTTTTGAATTTTCCTTACTGGTTTAAAGAGTATTTTTTAAATAACCATCAATGCTAGGTGCTTGGATATTTTAAAGAATATGTCTTCAAAAACCGCGAATGCAATAAGCGTTGATTCGAAATATTTTTTCTTTGCATTTTACAATCTATTTATTTACTCCCATTACAACTTTCCATTTTTTTATAAATATAAATTTAATTTACGATAAATTTCCAAAAATAAAAAAAACTAATTCTATTCGTAAAGTCAATTAAAAGTTAATTTCAATATTGTTTGCTTTTAGAACAATTTCGATTTTACATGTTAACCCAAAATATGCTTTTAACTTTTAAACTATAACGTTTAGTTTTGTTGTCTAAACAAACTGATGATGCTGATGCATGGCTTAATAGCAACAATAACAACAACAAAATGCAATACAACACTCCTCTCAAAGCATTGGGATGAACAGAATTTTTGTTTTGTGCTTAGACAACCAACCGACCGAACGGACGAGCGACCAATACCCGACTCACAAAAACAAATTTAATTTCACCAATAAAATTTGCAAAACCCCTAATCCGTTCACTTTGTGCCCAGAGGCATTTAATTTGTTAATGTTTATTGAATTTTGCTAGTGTTTTGCTTAAGCGTCTATACAGCAGAAGATGGAACTAGTTTTGTGGTTTGTTGAATGAATAACAACAAGAAAAAAGGAGGGAAATTAAATTTAAATTTAAAATTTATATTTTTATAAAAAATGTTCATCAAGGCATGTTGAAGTTGTGTTGAATTTGATTACATAATCTAGGTCATACTGATGGATACATTTAAAAAATCTATGAAACCATAGTGAACTCTCTAAGAAATCCACGACTATGGGCTTGAAAAAAATTATTTAAAAAATCCATGCCTGTAGGGCTTGAAAAAAATTATTTAAAAAATCCACGCCTGTAGGGCTTGAAAAAAATTATTTAAAAAATCCAGGCCTGTAGGGCTTTAAAAAAATTATTTAAAAAATCCACGACTATGGGCTTTAAAAAAATTATTTAAAAAATCCACGACTATGGGCTTTAAAAAAATTATTTAAAAAATCCACGCCTGTAGGCCTTGAAAAAAATTATTTAAAAAATCCACGACTATGGGCTTGAAAAAAATTATTTAAAAAATCCACGACTATGGGCTTGAAAAAAATTATTTAAAAAATCCACGACTATGGGCTTCAAAAAAATTATTTAAAAAATCCACGACTATGGGCTTGAAAAAAATTATTTAAAAAATCCACGACTATGGGCTTGAAAATAATTATTTAAAAAATCCACGACTATGGGCTTGAAAAAAATAATTTAAAAAATCCACGCCTATGGGTTAATAGATGCTTGAAAAAAATTATTTTAAAAATCAACTCCTATGGAGTAAAAGTTACTTAAAAAATGATATCCAACTACAAGTCTATGGTCTATGTAATCGAAGAAATTGTTTAAATTTTACAACTTAATTTCCCTACAGCAACAACTATCACCAAGTACATTGAAAAAAAGCCCGACGCACAATATGTTACTATAAAATTGTAGTCAATAACAAAAACGAAAAAGAGTTAATAAAACTGAAACAAAGAGACATGCAAACACGACACAGATTCTTATTGCTGTCTTCATAAACTTACATTTTCATATGTCTGTCGCTGTTGTGGCGTCATTTTGGCTTGTTGACGCTTCCATCCGATGCCAGCTACAAAGGCCACTGTTACACAGCCTAAGGCGCCTGCTGATGGATACTTGATAGCTTTACTGCCCATTACAGCAATGGCTCCACCCAAGATGGTCAAGACAAAGCGTAAACCATTTACATACGTCTGTAAAAAAATAAATAAATAAAAGCATGAACAAAACAGAGAAAGAACAAATTAAAACATGGCTGTTGAAAACAAGCGACATATTCTTATAAATTATTTTATATAAATTTAACGCTACAAGCAATGTCAGAAAAATATACATTTTATACATCGTAATGGAATTGTGTGTGTGTGGGTAATGTAATTAAAGAGATGGAAAGGGAAAATGCATTGTTTGTAGATAATTGCAGAAAAGTTATTAAGAATACTCCTTACACTAGTTACATATAAATATTAAAACGCGACAGTGGATAAACTGATATTAAAACTGATTGTGGATACCCCTACTGGAGAACATATTTGTATATCCTTCATCTTAAGAGGTGTATTAAATTTGTCATACCCTTGGCAATAACGAGAAATATTCGACGAAGACCCCATAAAGTATATTCCTGATTAGAATATAATTCTACAATTCTGCTGAAATCACGATAGAGGTCCGAATATTTAAGACAGAGCTTTGTACATGTTGTGCTACTAATTCTAGGGTGTTTTGTATTAGAAATTGGATATATCGACTTAGTCTACATAAACAAGTTCAACGCATTTTCGGTATTCTAATTTTTTAGCAACATTTTTTTGTTGTATTCTGGTATTTGTATATCCTCCATCAGACTGTTGTACAGAGTAGTATTTATGTCTTTGTGCATATCTTTATAACAGACAGGGTCTTTCTATGCTGATATTGTTTCGCTTTATCATTATCACACAAACTCGCACATATAGTTAAGAAATTTTGCAAAATTTTTCTTGGTAGATTTTAATGCTCCAAAGACCTGATCGGAGATTTTATATGAGGAAGGATATCTGCTTTGATTTCGGTTTTTACCAATCTGCGGTATAGCGGAGCGAGATAAATCAACAGAAAGTAAAACTGTAAATCTATATTCAATCTTGTACGTTTCACAATTCCGCAATTTTGTACACGTCGAACGGAAAAATGGTTCAGATTTAGCTCCCATATATATTTTCGTTCGATTTGACCTACAAATTAACACACGTATTGAATTGAGTGTGTAACCTCGTGTTTTTTTCTATATTTTCATCCGATTTTTAGCAAATTGTGCACTAAAACGTTAAATTTAGACAGATTTGCACGAAATTTTGCAAAACCTACTAAAGTGAGGATAGCCTAACGTGTGCCTAGTTTCATTGAAATCGGTTCAGATTTAGATATAGCTCCCATATATATTTTCGTCCGATTTATAGCAATTGGTGCACCAAAGGGTCAAATTTAGGCCAATTAGCAGGAGGAAGTTAGGAGGATAGCCTAACGTGTACCAAGTTTTTGTACCCTTCGCCACACTGTGGTACAGGGTATTATGTCTTTGTGCATATGTTTGTAACAGGCAAAATGAATCGAGATAGACCCATGGTTCCTTTTGAGAATATGTATAGAATCACTTTCTGAGTCGATTTATGCATGTCCGTCCATCCGTCCGTCCGTCTGTTGATATTAAATTGTAAACAAAGTACAGGTCGCATTTATAATCCGAATCGGATGAAATTTGACACAGTTCATTCGTTTGGCCCGAGGACGAGCCCTATTGAATTTGGGAAAAATCGGTTCAGATTTAGATATAGCTCCCATATATATTTTCGTCCGATTTAAGGTAAATGGTGCATCAAACTCCCTATATATATTTCGATTTGCACGAATTTTGGTATAGCCTACTAAATTATGCCTAGAATGACGTGTGCTAAATTTTGGGAAAATCGGTTCAGATTTAGATATAGCTCCCATATATAGTTTCGACTGATTTTAGGCAAATGGTGCACGAAGTCATTCGATTTGCACGAATTTTGGCACGACTTAGTGAATTAAGTCTATAATGATATGTGTTAAGTTTTGTAAAAATCGGTTCAGATATAGATATAGCCCCCGTATATATTTTCGCCCGATTTTAGGTAAATGGTGCACTAAAGTCCCTAAATATCTTTCGATTTGGACGAATTTTGGCACGACTTAGTGAATTAAGTCTATAATGATGTGTGTTAAGTTTCGTAAAAATCGGTTCAGATATAGATATAGCCCCCATATATATTTTCGCCCGATTTTAGGTAAATGGTGCACTAAAGTCCCTAAATATCTTTCGATTTGGACGAATTTTGGTATAGTCTACTGAATTAAGTCTAGAATGATGTGCGCTAAGTTTCGTGAAGATCGGTTCAGATTTAGATATAGCTACCATATATAGTTACCCCCGACTTTATGTAAATGGATAATCATTCGATTTCCACAAATTTAGGCATAGCGTACTGAATTAAGTCTAGAATGACGTGTGCTGAGTTTCGTGAAAATCGATTCAGATTTCGGCATAGCTCCCATATATAGTTTCGCCCGATTTTAAGTAAATGGTGCACTAAAGATCCATAGCTAAGCCTATTGACAAAACTTACTGAAGTTAATATAAATTAGTCTCTGACAAGTTTCTTTGAAATCGCTTTAGATAAAGATATACTAAAGCTTCCATATATAATATCGACCTCTTCATGTTAATTGTGAACCAAGTAATTAATGCATGTCTGATTGAGATTAAGTTTTAAACCGTGCAGCATACCAAATAGCGTGTGTCAAGTTTGCTTTAAATCGTTTTAAAAAATTTAGCATAGGTTGCAGAATGACATGTGTAGGGATTGATCGGTTTAGATATAGATAAAGATCACATATTTTCGTTCGTTCAATTTCATGTCAATGTTTCTTCAAAAAGGCGAAGTCCGTTAGGATACATATATAGAATATACCCAAAGTGGTGAAGGGTATCATATAGTCGGCCCAGTCCGACATTACTGCTTTCCTTACTGGTTTTTCATATATATTTGTGCACCAAAGAGTCAAATTCAGGCTGATTGGTATACAATTTTGTACAACGTACTAAAGTTGGGATAGCCTAACGTGTGCCAAGTTTTATTGAAATATTTTAGTCCGATTTTTAGTAAATTGTGCACAAAAGAGTCAAATTTAAGCCGATTTTCACAAAAATGTGTGGTCTGTTAGGAAAGTAGTAAAGGGTTTCATATAGTCGGCCCAGTTCGACTTTACTACTTTCCTCCTTGTTTTTCCTAAGACACTCTACGGATATGAATTTAATCTTTCTTTAATTCAGTCCGATTTCATGTTAATGATCCTCCAAGGAAGCTATGTGTGTTCTCTTGGCTGGATATTGTCGATACTCTCAACCAAATACTTTACAGATGAAATGTGTTATGGGTTTTATATCAATTAATGTAGTTTAAAAAAACAAATAAGTGGTGAAGGGTATCATATAGTCGGCCCGTCCGACTTTTGACTCTGACATTCTTGGAATAGAAAATAGGCACTGTGTTAGGTTACAGTGGAGATATCATTCCGTAACCCAATTTGCCACAAGCAAATTTATTGTACCCCTTACAAAAGCCTGTGCAATCATATCACATGGTTAGTTCTTGGGCCATTGCATGTTTGTTTCGGACAACATAGTCACCTTAATTAATTTCGCAAGATGTACGTTTTGTGCGTTGTACGATGTTGGACTCAGTCCAGTCTTATCCACAGAATCCCAAGTGTAGCCCCACCTGGGGTGTTAAGGTTATATCGTAGAAACTAACTCTCAACAACCTCAATGGAAGCTGCAGAATGAATCGAAATCGATATTCAACAGAGTTTATTCCTTATTGACATATAAAGGATCTCCTCACATGTTACTGGTCCTTGCTATAACATAACTTAAATTAACTCTCTGATGTCGAAAAAAATAAAGGACTTAAAATGATGTAACAACGATATATATGTTTGTGCAACAAAAACTAGTCCATCAAATCAATTGTTTTGCACTTCAAATTCTAAAATAAAAAAAAGCGGAGGGACTGGAGAAAACATCAGAATTTCAACGATAGCAGGCAGGCAGACAAAAAAGAATTGAGGCGATTTTGCGTGAATAGCACAGCTGTATAAATGTTATTTTGTGACCATAAAATAGTTTCGGTGAATGCAACATATGTACATTTCTAGATGAACTGATGAAATTGGACTGCTGCTACTAGGATTTTGGTTGCCTACCAGCCTGCCAGGCTGGTTGGTTCGTTGCTAGGGTTTTGCGAGATTGCACAGACACAAACAGACAAACATAGCAGCAACGTAGGTTTAGTTTGGGTTTTTAGCCATGATGTTTGTTATTCGGTTGCTTTTTATACCCTACACAACTATGTTGTCAGGGTATTATAGCTTTGTGCAGCCCCAAAAGTTTGTAACGCCGCGAAATATTGATCCTAGACCCACCTTTAAGTATACCGATCGTTATATCTCGACTAGCTGAGTCGATCTAGACATGTGTGTCCGTCCGTCCGTCTGTCCGTCTGTCCATTATATTTTGTAAACACGATACAGGCCACAGTTATGGACCAATCTTCACGAAATTTTGCATGTAGGATGGGTTCTGGCCAATGAAGACCCCTATTGTTTTTGGGAAAGATCGGTTAATATTTAGGGGATGAAATGGACCAAATACTAAATTTTTGTCGGTTTTTCTGGTCGCTCCGGAGGCCGCAACAATGGTCCGAACATCGTGAAATTTTGCATGGAGAAGCGGATCGGGCCAAACAATAAGCATGCCTGTTTGGAGAAAGATCGGTCAATATTTAGCGGGTCAAATGGACCCTGGCTTTTGTGTGAAAAAATGACAAAATTTGTATTCTATAACGTATATATTTACCCCTGAAGGACATATACCCGAAAAGTTGATATTATATCCAAGAGGAGTGGTTGACCTTTAAATTAAGACCAATTATATTGTTGTATGTGCTCGCATGTGGGAGTTACACCTAAATATTTACAGGTATCTCCGTATTCGTATATTATTTAGTAACCCATTATCACTCTGGAGAGCGGAACTATAGCGCTGATCGCTTTCAAATGTTCTATGAGGTTCCAGTTATGGTCAAGGACAACGCCTATAATTTTCGGTGATGATCAGATAATAATT